ATACAAAAGCCTAAAATTAAACTGAATAGTAAGGATAACATATGGAAATGATTATCATTTAAATTTAATACCATACAAGAGATACTAAATTAATATAAAATCACAATACAAGTGAGAGAACAATTACAGTCCCTTTAATAACTTTTTCTAACCTCAATACTATAATGTTTCCTTAAATCACCTTCCAATACCTTCAATTCTCCAGTGTTTCAAAAGAGAAAAATTTATGTTTAAAAAGGTAAAAACGGCTGGGTGAAGTGGCTCATGCCTGTAATCCCAGCACTTTGGGAGGCGAGGTAAGGAGGATCACTTAAGCCCAGGAGTTGGATAACAGCCTGAGCAATGTAGCAAGACCTTATCCCTACAAAAAATTTTTAAAAATTAGCCAAGCACAGTGGTACGTACTATAGGCCCAGCTACTTGGGGCACTGAGGCGAGAGGATCGCTTGAGCCCAGGAGTTTGAGGCTGCAGTGAGTGGTGATCATGCCACTGTACTCCAGCCTCAGCAACAGAGCAAGTTGACCAGGCTGTCTCAAAAAAAAGATAAAAATTACATGGTTTTATAGTATCTTTATATGAAAGCAAAAAGAAAGAACGAGTGCAGAATATTTCCCTTGAAATATGAGTGAAAGCAGCACATGGTCCTGCATGATTAGCATATAACACTCCCTCTGTAACAGAGTCCAAAGAAGTTAATGCCTTCTCATGGCAAATGAGACAAAGAAAAGGCTCCTAACCATAAATATTTATCATTTTGAGCATATTTTCACATGATTCAGTTTTTCTCTAGTAACAGCTGAAAGAAAATGAAAAAAAATTACTAGGAACCTGCTCCAGCATGGAGGGGATGAATAAATGTCATCATAACTTCTCAACATATCTCCGAGTATCTTTGTTACAAACCAAATAATGAAACTTTTTTAAAAATTGAAGATAAGTAGCCCTACTTTGAGAATAAAATTAAAAGAACCAATATTAAAGCAAGTTACACAGAGTAGGAAATCAGTTCAACTTCCATGGAATTTCATTTTTCTTATATTCTTAAAATAGTTAAAGAAGGTTATTCTGTAGGGCACATAATATATATAACACTATAAAGAACTAAACATGTTAAGATGCTTAAGTGTCTTGAGTTAAACATTAGAGAATTAAATATAGTCCAAAATTCAGTTTTATATTATAAAACTTATAATACCTAACTTGCAATACCAGTTTAAAATGGTAAGGGAAAAGATTTTGAGATGTTGAGAGGACATACATTTTTAACTCAGAATGGTTTGAGATGAAAGGTGTAAATTTCTATATAATTAAAGAATGAGATTTTTAATTATTAGATCTATATTTTTACTAAACTTCAGTGTTTGTTGTTATGTCATAAAAATAAGCCTCTAAAATAGTTTGTCACTAGAATGAGTTCATAGAATACTAGTTCAGTGTCTCATAAAGATATTACTCTGTACACAAAAACCTAGCATATTCTTTGCATATACTTTTTCACATTCATCTTTCCTAAAAAATCTAATGAGAAATTTTAAAATAATACCCAGCCTCAGAAGGAACAATTCCCCTCAAGAGTAACTGTGGAATTAGCTCCTAATTATTTACTGATATAAGAACTCCTACAACTTTAACTTGTATCTTTCCAAATCTATCACAGTTTAACCCCATAAAAAATAAACTGGTGGCTGGGTGCGGTGGCTCACACCTGTAATCCTAGCACTCTGGGAGGCCAAGGCAGGCGGATTGTTTGAGCTCAGGAGTTCGAAACCAGCCTGAGCAAGAGCGAGACCCCGTCTCTACTAAAAATAGAAAGAAATTAA